AGAAACCACTACTAAGAAACACGAGCAATGGACATTAGACCGGTGGACATCTGTCCTTTGGTCTGATGAGTCCAAATTTGAGATTTTTGGTTCCAACCGCCGTGTCTTTGTGAGACTCAGAGTAGGTGAACGGATGATCTCTGCATGTGTGGTTCCGACCGTGAAGCATGGAGGAGGAGGTGTGATGGTGCTTTGCTGGTGACACTGTCTGTGATTTATTTAGAATTCAAGGCACACTTAACCAGCATGGCTACCACAGCATTCTGCAGCGATACGCCATCCCATCTGGTTTGGGCTTAGTGGGACTATCATTTGTTTTTCAACAGGACAATGACCCAACACACCTCCAGGCTGTGTAAGGGCTATTTGACCAAGGAGGAGAGTGATGGAGTGCTGCATCAGATGACCTGGCCTCCACAATCCCCCTGACCTCAACCCAATTGAGATAGTTTGGGATGAGTTGGACCACAGAGTGAAGGAAAAGCAGCCAACAAGTGCTCAGCATATGTGGGAACTCCATCAAGACTGTTGGAAAAGCATTCCAGGTGAAGCTGGTTGAGAGAATGCCAAGAGTGTGCAAAGCTGTCATCAAGGCAAAGGGTGGCTACTTTGAAGAATCTCAAATATAAAATATATTTTGATTTGTTTAACACTTTTTTGGTTACTACATGATTCCATATGTGTTATTTCATAGTGTTGATGTCTTCACTATTATTCTACAATGTAAAAAATAAAGAAAAACCATTGAATGAGTAGGTGTGTCCAAAGTTTTGACTGGTTCTGTATAATTCCACGCTATGAGGTTGGAATAATACTGTGATGTTGATAATGCCATTTTAGTGTAAGCGCTATTTGAAAAGACCGCCTGAAATTTCAGCCTGTTTTGGTGGGATGGAGTTTTGGCCTTCCTGGTGACATCAGCAGGCGGTAAATTAGATAATAGAACAATAAAAGAGTCGAAACCCTGCAAAACAGCTAGTTTTCTCCACACTAGACCACTCCCAGACAGAAAGCCTTGAGAAATCTGGTAAGAAGCTATGTTTGTTTGTTTTCAATTAAAATGGTTAAAAAAAAGAATCACAGAAATGTACTTAGTTGTTACTCAGAAATGATTTGATATATTTAAATTATTTTTTAAAACGCTTGCCTTGGTTTAAACAATCCAGTCCCTAGGGGGCGCTGTTACACGCTAGTGGTACAGGAGAGCAGTTCCCTAGGGGGCGCTTGTTAACACCGCTAGTGGTACAGGGAGCAGAGTGCACGCCTAGGGGGCGCTGTACACGCTAGTTGGTACAGGGAGCAGAGTGCACGGTCCCTAGGGGCGCTGTTTACATACCGCTAAGTGTACAGGAGCAGAGTGCACGGTCCCTAGGGGCGCTTTACACGCTAGTTTACAGGGACATAGCAGTCCCAGGGGGCGCTGTTACAACCGCTAGGTGGTACAGGGAGCAGAGTCACGGCCTAGGGGGCGCTTGTTACACCGCTAGTGTTACAGGGAGCAGAGTGCCCGGTCCCTAGGGGGCGCTGTTTACACCGCTAGTGTTACAGGGAGCAGAGTGCACGGTCCCTAGGGGGCGCTGTTACACCGCTGTGGTTACAGGGAGCCAGAGTCCCTAGGGGGCGCTAGGTTTACACCGATAGTGGTACATGGGATCAGTAGTCCCTAGGGGCGCTGTTACACCGCTAGTGGTACAGGAGCAGAGTCCTAGGGGGCGCTGTTACACCACTAGTGGTACAGGGAGGCAGAGTGCAGAGTCCCTAGGGGGCGCTGTTACACCGCTGGTTGGTACAGGGAGCAGAGTGCACTGGTCCCTAGGGGGCGCTGTTACACCACTGGTGGTACAGGGAGCAGAGTCCTAGGGGGGCGCTGTTACACCGCTGGTGGTACAGGGAGCAGAGTGCAGAGTCCCTAGGGGGCGCTGTTACACCGCTAGTGGTACAGGGAGCAGAGTCCCTAGGGGGCGCTGTTACACCGCTAGTGGTACAGGGAGCAGAGTGCAGAGTCCCTAGGGGGCGCTGTTACACCGCTAGTGGTACAGGGAGCAGAGTGCACGGTCCCTAGGGGGCGCTGTTACACCGCTAGTGTTACAGGGAGCAGAGTGCACGGTCCCTAGGGGGCGCTGTTACACCACTAGTGGTACAGGGAGCAGAGTCCCTAGGGGGCGCTGTTACACCACTAGTGGTACAGGGAGCAGAGTCCCTAGGGGGCGCTGTTACACCGCTGGTGTTACAGGGAGCAGAGTCCCTAGGGGGCGCTGTTACACCACTAGTGGTACAGGGAGCAGAGTCCCTAGGGGGCGCTGTTACACCGCTGGTGGTACAGGGAGCAGAGTCCCTAGGGGGCGCTGTTACACCGCTGGTGGTACAGGGAGCAGAGTCCCTAGGGGGCGCTGTTACACCACTAGTGGTACAGGGAGCAGAGTCCCTAGGGGGCGCTGTTACACCACTAGTGGTACAGGGAGCAGAGTGCACGGCAGACCAGGCTTTCTGGAGGTCCGTTATATTCAGCATTATATTCAACAAACACAAGACCTCTTAGATTCTAATATAATATACAATATGACTGTCAATACACACAGTTAAATAATGTCCGGCCTTCACCTAGAGACACTGTACAAGATGATGAGACAGGCTGGTTCAGACTGGTTCAGACTGTCTCTGTAGAACACCTCTACTTAAACACCACCAACAGAAGAACGCTTTACTTGTCTTTCTTTTTCTTCAGACCTGAAACAACAAATACCAACGCACACACACACACACACACTGGGCAGTGAGGGTTGCTAGTGAGTGTGTGTGAGTGAATTGTCACCATGGTAACAATGGTCAGGGTTGTATTCCACAGAGCAGATAATCAGATCTAGAGAGACCCAGACCCAGGGTATATGCAGTAATAGAGAGTCAGCATGGTATTTCTAGTTTATCTCTGGGTAGCTGACTGACTCATACTCTATGAAGGAAGGCAACTAGCAGGGCAGTTTGGCAGCTTCCAGAATGGGAACAAACAGCTTCTAGAATGTAAACAAACAGCTTCTAGAATGTAAACAAACAACTTCTAGAAAATAAACATTGAAAAGATTCTAGAATGTAAACAAACAGCTTCTAAATGTAAACAAACAGCTTCTAGAACATAAACAAACAGCTTCTAGAAAATAAACAGGGAAAAAATTCTAGAATGTAAACAAACAGCTTCTAGAATGTAAACAAACAACTTCTAGAATGTAAACAAACAACTTCTAGAATGTAAACAAACAACTTCTAGAATGTAAACATACAACTTCTAGAATGTAAACATACAGCTTCTAGAATGTAAACAAACAGCTTCTAGAACGTAAACATAAACAAGCCAGATTCATTCAAAATCTTCTGTGATGTTTGCGCACACTAGTTAGGGAACATCTGAAACCACTATTGCCTTCCATAGTACACTGGTGGTAAGGCTCAGCTGGCCATCAGTAATCCACTACATAGGGAATAGTGGATGACTGGTCTGCAGACTAGCTACTGGACGGAGGGAGATATTGCACTTGGTCACGTTAACATCATAGTGGTGAAAGCTACTATCTCCAGGTCACTGTCAAGACACACAGGACAGTTTGGCACTTAGTCAGTCTCACAGAACATGCAGATAGCACACCTGACCCAAGAACAGGACATCCCCTTCAAAACATCACCATGGAGGTACAGTCCATGTAACTAGGTCCCCTCCGGCACTTCCAGCACTATGTTCTCTAGTGGATAGGACCTGGTATGTGGGGACAGAGAGGTGGGGACAGGGAGGGACTAGTCCTACTGTAGTAGGAGAGGGAGGGACTAGTAGGAGAGGGAGGGACTAGTAGGACAGGGAGGGACTAGTAGGAGAGGGAGGGACTAGTAGGAGAGGGAGGGACTAGTAGGAGAGGGAGGGACTAGTAGGAGAGGGAGGGACTAGTAGGAAGGGAGGGACTAGTAGGAGAGGGAGGGACTAGTAGGAGAGGGAGGGACTAGTAGGACAGGGAGGGACTAGTAGGAGAGGGAGGGACTAGTAGGAGAGGGAGGGACTAGTAGGACAGGGAGGGACTAGTAGGACAGGAGGACTAGTAGGAGAGGGAGGACTAGTAGGAAGGGAGGGACTAGTAGGACAGGGAGGGACTAGTAGGAGAGGAGGGACTATAGGAGAGGGAGGGACTAGTAGGACAGGAGGGACTAGTAGGAAGGGAGGGACTAGTAGGACAGGGAGGGACTAGTAGGACAGGAGGGAACTAGTAGGAGAGGAGGGACTAGTGGACAGGGAGGGACTAGTAGGAGAGGGAGGGACTAGTAGTAAGGGAGGGACTAGTAGTGAGAGGGAGGACTTGGAGTGGACAAGGGAGGGGGAGAGGGAGGGACTAGTAGGAGAGGGAGGGACTAGTAGGACAGGAGGGACTAGTAGGAGAGGGAGGGACTAGTAGGAGAGGGAGGGACTAGTAGAGAGGGAGGGACTAGTAGGAGAGGGAGGGAACTAGTAGGGAAGGGAGGGACTAGTAGCAGGGACTAGTAGGAGAGGGAGGGACTAGTAGGAGAGGGAGGGACTAGTAGGAGGGAGGGACTAGTAGGAGAGGGAGGGACTAGTAGGAGAGGGAGGGACTAGTAGGACAGGGAGGGACTAGTAGGAGAGGGAGGGACTAGTAGGAGAGGGAGGGACTAGTAGGAGAGGGAGGGACTAGTAGGACAGGGAGGGACTAGTAGGAGAGGGAGGGACTAGTAGGAGAGGGAGGGACTAGTAGGACAGGGAGGGACTAGTAGGAGAGGGAGGGACTAGTAGGACAGGGAGGGACTAGTAGGAAGGGAGGGACTAGTAGGACAGGGGAGGGACTAGTAGGAAGGGAGGGACTAGTAGGAGAGGAGGGACTAGTAGGAGAGGGAGGGACTAGTAGGAGAGGGAGGTGACACTAATATATGGGGACCTGGTATGTGGGGACAGAGAGGTGGGGACAGGGAGGGACTAGTAGGAGAGGGAGGTGACACTAATATATGGGGACCTGGTATGTGGGTGCAGGGTCATCTAGCCCCTCAGTGAACGGGGGGCTCTGGTAGTTGTCGCTGGGCTCGATGGCGCCCCCGGTGGTGGTGGTGGGGGGGAGGTATGGCGTTACCGGGGCGACTCCGTCCAGATGGTCCGTGGTGAAGAGGGTCATGTCTGTTCCCAGGAGATACTTCTGGACTGCACGAACCGTCAGACCAGCCTGGAAGAGGAGGAAGAAGGAGAATTTTTATTTTTATTTTTTTATTTCACCTTTATTTAACCAGGTAAGAAGCCAGTTGAGAACAAGTTCTCATTTACAACTGCGACCTGGCCAAGATAAAGCATAGCAGTGCGATAAAAACAACAACACAGAGTTACATATGGAATAAAAAACATAAAGTCAAAAATACAACAGGAAATATATATACAGTGTGTGCAAATGTAGCAAGTTATGGAGGTAAGGCAATAAATAGGCCATAGTGCAAAATAATAACAATAGTATTAACACTGGAATGATAGATGCGCAAGAGATGATGTGCAAATAGAGATACTGGGTGCAAATTAGCAAAATAAATAACAATATGGGGATGAGGTAGTTGGGTGGGCTAATTTCAGATGGGCTGTGTACAGGTGCAGTGATCGGTAAGGTGCTCTGACAACTGATGCTTAAAGTTACTGAGGGAGATAAGAGTCTCCAGCTTCAGAGATTTTTGCAGTCCGTTCCAGTCATTGGCAGCAGAGAACTGGAAGGAATGGCGGCCAAAGGAGGTGTTGGCTTTGGGGATGACCAGTGAGATATACCTGCTGGAGCGCAGACTACGGGTGGGTGCTTCTATGGTGACCAATGAGCTAAGATAAGGCGGGGATTTGCCTAGCAGTGATTTATAGATGGCCTGGAGCCAGTGGGTTTGACGACGAACATGTAGTGAGGACCAGCCAACAAGAGCGTACAGGTCACAGTGGTGGGTAGTGTATGGGGCTTTGGAGACAAAACGGATGGCACTGTGATAGACTACATCCAATTTGCTGAGTAGAGTGTTGGAGGCTATTTTGTAAATGACATCGCCGAAGTCAAGGATCGGTAGGATAGTCAGTTTTACGAGGGCATGTTTGGCAGCATGAGTGAAGGAGGCTTTGTTGCGAAATAGGAAGCCGATTCTAGATTTAACTTTGGATTGGAGATGCTTAATGTGAGTCTGGAAGGAGAGTTTACAGTCTAACCAGACACCTAGGTATTTGTAGTTGTAGAATGCCACAGTGCAGTGGCCCTGGAGCTGCTATAGGGGGTCTGTATGGACCCAGGTGAGGACGGAGAAGACTGTGTGTGTGTGTTCGTACCCAGGTGAGGATGGAGAAGACTGTGTGTGTGTGTTCGTACCCAGGTGAGGACGGAGAAGTGTGTGTGTGTGTGTGTGTGTGTGTGTGTGTGTGTGTGTGTTCGTACCCAGGTGAGGACAGAGAAGAATGAGAAGGTTATAGAGGCCCTGGCTGCGTCCGCCCCCTGGTTGAGTGGCAGGTCCTCGGGGGCGGTCCTAGACCACTGATTGGTCAGGAAACAGAAACTCACAAACCACAGGAATGTCCAGAAACCTGAAAACAACCAATCACAGAACGCAGTCAGAGGACAGCCAACCAATCACAGCACACACAGGTTGACATTTTCCTCCAACTTTCATTTAAATAAAAAGTAAATGTCTGTTTTGTATGAGTGTTGTAGCCTACCGGAAACGCCGACCTCCAGCATCACAACCTTCTTCCTGTCTTTAATAGAGCTGATCTGCTGAAACTTGACATCCACCAGGAAGAAGAAGGAGCACAGCAACAAGCCCCCTACACCACAGAACACTCCGTAGTTACACGCATCCCCGTTCTTATTGAACACGCAGTGGAGACGTTCACTACCCAGGTTCACGTAGCCTTCATTCACTATCGAGGCGAACACCACCAGGGAGAAAACCTGAGGAGAGGAGAGGAGATGCACCTGAGCCAACAAATAACAACAATTACATACTTATTTCATTTTATTAATTACATAAGAGAGGTATAACATTTATTTGTTATTTGTAAACTCAGGTTCCCTTTAATCTAATAGGTTTTGATTGAAGATAATATGCCATTTAGCAGACGCTTTTATCCAAAGCGACTTACAGTCATGGGCGCATTCATGTTTACGTATGGGTGGTCCCCGGGGGATCGAACCCACTACCCTGGCGTTACAAGCGCCGCGCTCTACCAGCTGAGCTACAGAGGACCAATGTAAGATCTGATAACATTCCGTTTTTTTTTTTTAAATATGCACAAATAGAGAAAATCAGAAAGGGGGCAAATCCCTTTTTCACTGCCCTGTAGATCACACACTCTTCCCTCTGTAGTAAAACTATCGCGTCACTATAACGACAACCACCGGGGGAATGATCGACCTGGCGAATAGAGAGGGGATGAGACGCCACTATAACGACAACCACCGGGGGGTTGATCGACCTGGCGAATAGAGAGAGAGGATGAGACGCCACGATAGGGGCGGTGGAATGTTCCATATCTCAAACACATGGCGACACACAGACTATAATAATAATAATAATAATAATAATGTGATCTAGATAATGCTTTAGGCCAAGAGATAGACATGATAAAGATACATGTATCTAAACGCAACAGTCTAACCAGCCCGTTATCATCCTAGCTACCTAATTCAATACATTTTACCGCCACATCCATTTTGACATTATTTCAGATCTGTTTTAGAAAACGACATGAGGTCTAAATCATGGATCTAATCTGAACAGGGTGGACCGTTATTCGACAGCCTCCGTCTCCCATCGGACCCCGCCCATCTATTAGCTTAATGCCGTTTCCAGCCTCTATCTGTGGTGCTCCACGGAGCGATCCCCCCCCCGCCCCCGCCACGGAGGACGCCCCGACAGACTCCCGTGCTCTGTCGGTCTCTTACCCAGGACAGGACCCTGAGGATGGTGGTCGGCTGCTTGATGAAGGAAACCGGGTCGAAGGCAGCACCCGCAAGGCCCGCTCCGAACGATCCCACTCCGTCCATCTTCTCTCTCTCTCTCTCTCTCTCTGTTCTCTGGGTGCGCTACCTTGCGTCAGGCTCCAGGCTCGGTTTGGTACTGTCTTGTAGTGTAGCGAAGGGTCCTGCGCGCACACGACGTGCACGCTGCTACTGTGCGGGGGCGTGCTAGACCTAGCGGGAATACGCACAGGGCTGCTGTGACGTCAAAACAGCGGTAGCATCTACTGTTGAGGAGCTATAGGAGGAAGGAGGTCTGGACTATACATCTGTTGAGGAGCTATAGGAGGAAGGAGGTCTGGACTATACATCTGTTGAGGAGCTATAGGAGGAAGGAGGTCTGGACTATACATCTGTTGAGGAGCTATAGGAGGAAGGAGGTCTGGACTATACATCTGTTGAGGAGCTATAGGAGGAAGGAGGTCTGGACTATACATCTGTTGAGGAGCTATAGGAGGAAGGAGGTCTGGACTCTGTTGAGGAGCTATAGGAGGAAGGAGGTCTGGACTCTGTTGAGGAGCTATAGGAGGAAGGAGGTCTGGACTCTGGTTGAGGAGCTATAGGAGGAAGGAGGTCTGGACTATACATCTGTTGAGGAGCTATAGGAGGAAGGAGGTCTGGACTCTGTTGAGGAGCTATAGGAGGAAGGAGGTCTGGACTATACATCTGTTGAGGAGCTATAGGAGGAAGGAGGTCTGGACTATACATCTGTTGAGGGAGCTATAGGAGGAAGGAGGTCTGGACTCTGTTGAGGAGCTATAGGAGGAAGGAGGTCTGGACTATAACATCTGTTGAGGAGCTATAGGAGGAAGGAGGTCTGGACTATACATCTGTTGAGGAGCTATAGGAGGAAGAGAGGTCTGGACTCTGTTGAGGAGCTATAGGAGGAAGGAGGTCTGGACTCTGGTTGAGGAGCTATAGGAGGAAGGAGGTCTGGACTATCTCGTTGAGGAGCTATAGGAGGAAGGAGTCTGGACTATACATCTGTTGAGGAGCTATAGGAGGAAAGGAGGTCTGGACTATACATCTGTTTGAGGAGCTATAGGAGGGAAGGAGTCTGGACTCTGTTGAGGAGCTATAGGGATGAAGGAGGTCTGGACTATACATCTGTTGAGAGCTATAGGAGGGAAGGAGGTCTGGACTATACATTCTGTTTGAGGAGCTATAGTGAGGAAGGGAGGTCTGGACTCTGTTGAGGAGCTATAGGAGGAAGGAGGGTCCTGGACTCTGTTGAGGAGCTATAGGAGGAAGGAGGTCTGGACTACATCTGTTGAGGAGCTATAGAGGAAGAGGTCTGGACTCTGTTGAGGAGCTATAGAGGAAGGAGGTCTGGACTATACATCTGTTGGGAGCTATGAGGAAGGAGGTCTGGACTCTGTTGAGGAGCTATAGGAGGAGGAGGTCTGGACTATACATCTGTTGAGGAGCTATAGGAGGAAGGAGGTCTGGACTCTGTTGAGGAGCTATAGGAGGAAGGAGGTCTGGACTCTGTTGAGGAGCTATAGGAGGAAGGAGGTCTGGACTATACATCTGTTGAGGAGCTATAGGAGGAAGGAGGTCTGGACTATACATCTGTTGAGGAGCTATAGGAGGAAGGAGGTCTGGACTATACATCTGTTGAGGAGCTATAGGAGGAAGGAGGTCTGGACTATACATCTGTTGAGGAGCTATAGGAGGAAGGAGGTCTGGGACTATACATCTGTTGAGGAGCTATAGGAGGAAGGAGGTCTGGACTATACATCTGTTGAGGAGCTATAGGAGGAAGGAGGTCTGGACTCTACATCTGTTGAGGAGCTATGGAGGAAGGAGGTCTGGACTATACAATCTGTTGAGGAGCTATAGGAGGAAGGAGGTCTGGACTCTGTTGAGGAGCTATAGGAGAAGGAGGTCTGGACTAACCTGTTGAGGAGTCTATCAGGAGGAAGGAGGTCTGGACCATACATCTGTTGAGGAGCTATAGGAGGAAGGAGGTCTGGACTATACATCTGTTGAGGAGCTATAGGAGGAAGGAGGTCTGGACTCTACATCTGTTGAGGAGCTATAGGAGGAAGGAGGTCTGGACTATACAGGAAGTCTGTTTGAGGAGCTATAGGAGGAAGGAGGTCTGGACTATACATCTGTTGAGGAGCTATAGGAGGAAGGAGGTCTGGACTATACTCTGTTGAGGAGCTATAGGAGGAAGGAGGTCTGGACTATACATCTGTTGAGGAGCTATAGGAGGAAGGAGGTCTGGACTATACATCTGTTGAGGAGCTATAGGAGGAAGGAGGTCTGGACTACATTGTTGAGGAGCTATAGGAGGAAGGAGGTCTGGACTATACATCTGTTGAGGAGCTATAGGAGGAAGGAGGTCTGGACTATACATCTGTTGAGGAGCTATAGGAGGAAGGAGGTCTGGGACTATACATCTGTTGAGGAGCTATAGGAGGAAGGAGGTCTGGACTATACATCTGTTGAGGAGCTTAGGAGGAAGGAGTCTGACTATACTCTGTTGAGGAGCTATAGGAGGAAGGAGGTCTGGACTATACATCTGTTAGGAGCTATAGGAGGAAGGAGGTCTGGACTATACATCTGTTGAGGAGCTATAGGAGGAAGGAGGTCTGGACTATACATCTGTTGAGAGCTATAGGAGGAAGGAGAGGTCTGGACTCTGTGTGAGGAGGAAGGAGGAAGGAGGTCTGGACTAACATCGTTGAGGAGCTATAGGAGGAAGGAGGTCTGGACTATACATCTGTTGAGGAGCTATAGGAGGAAGGAGGTCTGGACTCTGTTGAGGAGGAAGGAGGAAGGAGGTCTGGACTATACATCTGTTGAGGAGCTATAGGAGGAAGGAGGTCTGGACTATACATCTGTTGAGGAGCTATAGGAGGAAGGAGGTCTGGAACTCTGTTGAGGAGCTATAGGAGGAAGGAGGTCTGGACTCCTGTTGAGGAGCTATAGGAGGAAGGAGGTCTGGACTATACATCTGTTGAGGAGCTATAGGAGGAAGGAGATCTGGACTATACATCTGTTGAGGAGCTATAGGAGGAAGGAGGTCTGGACTATACATCTGTTGAGGAGCTATAGGAGGAAGGAGGTCTGGACTCTGTTGAGGGAAAGCTATAGGAGGAAGGAGGTCTGGACTATACATCTGTGAGGAGCTATAGGAGGAAGGAGGTCTGGACTATACATCTGTTGAGGAGCTATAGGAGGAAGGAGGTCTGGACTCTGTTGAGGAGCTATAGGAGGAAGGAGGTCTGGACTATACATCTGTTGAGGAGCTATAGGAGGAAGGAGGTCTGGACTCTGTTGAGGAGCTATAGGAGGAAGGAGGTCTGGACTATACATCTGTTGAGGAGCTATAGGAGGAAGGAGGTCTGGACTATACATCTGTTGAGGAGCTATAGGAGGAAGGAGGTCTGGACTATACATCTGTTGAGGAGCTATAGGAGGAAGGAGGTCTGGACTATACATCTGTTGAGGAGCTATAGGAGGAAGGAGGTCTGGACTATACATCTGTTGAGGAGCTATAGGAGGAAGGAGGTCTGGACTATACATCTGTTGAGGAGCTATAGGAGGAAGGAGGTCTGGACTCTGTTGAGGAGCTATAGGAGGAAGGAGGTCTGGACTATACATCTGTTGAGGAGCTATAGGAGGAAGGAGGTCTGGACTATACATCTGTTGAGGAGCTATAGGAGGAAGGAGGTCTGGACTCTGTTGAGGAGCTATAGGAGGATAGAGGTCTGGACTATATATCTGAGGCACAGTGGATGGGAGACTCAGACTGGCAGGTATAATAGCCCAGTGGTCAGACAGCAACGTGTATAGGGCAGGGTCAAGCATTCCAAACGCTTGGTCAATAACAGTCACATGTATTATTGGGCATCACTCCTCTCCACTCTGTGGTCCAGCAGGCTATCCTGTCAGAGTCACGGTACTCTGGTTGCGGTTCTCAGCTCTGGCCACCAGGGGGAAGCAGAACTCTGCTGTCAACATGAACCACATCACCTCTTCTGTAGAAACACTATATAGATCATACACTAACATCCACTATATAGATAATCCACTAACATCCACTATATAGATCATCCACTAACATCCACTATATAGATCATCCACTATATAGATCATCCACTATATAGATCATCCACTATATAGATCATCCACTAACATCCACTATATAGATCATCCACTAACATCCACTATATAGATCATCCACTATATAGATCATCCACTAACATCCACTTATATAGATCATCCACTAACATCCACTATATAAGATCATCCACTGATATAGATCATCCACTTTAATAGATCATCCACTAACATCCACATATAGATCATCCACTATATAGATCATCCACTATATAGATCATCCACTAACATCCACTATATAGATCATCCACTATATAGATCATCCACTATATAGATCATCCACTAACATCCACTATATAGATCATCCACTAACATCCACTATATAGATCATCCACTAACATCCACTATATAGATCATCCACTAACATCCACTATATAGATCATCCACTAACATCCACTATATAGATCATCCACTATATAGATCTCACAACATCCACTATATAGAACATCCACTAATAGATCATCCACTATATAGATCATCCACTACATCCACTATATAGATCATCACTAACATCCCTCACTATATAGATCATCCACTAACATCCACTATAAGATCAATCCACTATAAGATCATCCACTAACATCCACTATATAGATCATCCACTATATAGATCATTCCACTAACATCCACTATATAGATCATCCACTATAGATCATCCACTATATAGATCATCCAATATATAGAATCATCCACTATATAGATCATCACTATATAGATCATCCACTATATAATCATCCACTATAATAGATCATCCACATAATAGGATCATCCACTAACATCCACTATATAGATCATCCACTATATAGATCATCCACTATATAGATCATCCACTATATAGATCATCCACTAACATCCACTATATAGATCATCCACTATATAGATCATCCACTAACATCCACTATATAGATCATCCACTAACATCCACTATATAGATCATCCACTATATAGATCATCCACTAACATCCACTATATAGATCATCCACTATATAGATCATCCACTAACATCCACTATATAGATCATACACTATATAGATCATCCACTATATAGATCATCCACTATATAGATCATCCACTATATAGATCATCCACTAACATCCACTATATAGATCATCCACTATATAGATCATCCACTATATAGATCATCCACTATATAGATCATCCACTATATAGATCATCCACTATATAGATCATCCACTATATAGATCATCCACTATATAGATCATCCACTAACATCCACTATATATATCATCCACTATATAGATCATCCACTATATAGATCATCCACTATATAGATCATCCACTATATAGATCATCCACTATATAGATCATCCACTCCCCAAACATGTGGAAGAAGGTACGAAGAAGGTAGCCCAGCTCTGTGGAGTGTACGGCTTAAAGTGGTCCTATGGACAGATACTCCAACCTCCGCTGTGGAGCTTTGCAGCTCCTTCAGGGTTATTTCTTTCTTTCTTAGTCTCCCGAGTCGCGCAGTGGTCTGGAAGACGCCATGCATCGCAGTGCTAGCTGTGCCACTAGAGATCCTGGTTCGAATCCAGGCTCTGTTGTAGCCGGTCGCGACCGGGAGACCCATGGGGCGGCGCACAATTGGCCCAGCGTCGTCTAGGGTAGGGGAGGGAATGGCCGGCAGGGGATGTAGCTCAGTTGGTAGAGCATGGCGTTTGCAACGCCAAAGTTGTGGGTTCAATTCCCACGGGGGGTATGAAATATAATTGAAAAAATTTATGTATGCACTCACTAACTGTAAGTCGCTCTGGATAAGAGCGTCTGCTAAATGACTAAAATGTAAATCTTTGGTCTCTGTTGCCTCTGATTAATGCCCTCCTTGCCTGGTCCGTGAGTTTTGGTGGGCGGCCCTCTCTTGGCAGGTTTGCTTTGTTGCCATATTCTTTAAATTTTTTTATAATGGATTTAAATGGTGCTCTGTGGGATGTTCAAAGTTTCGTATATTTTTTTATAACCCAACCCTGATCTGTACTTCTCCACAACTTTGTCCCTGACCTGTTTGGAGAGCTCCTTGGTCTTCATGGTGCCGCTTGCTTGGTGGTGCCCCTTGCTTAGTGGTGTTGCAGACTCTGGGGCCTTTCAGAACAGGTGTATATATACTGAGATCATGTGACACTTAGATTGCACACAGGTGGACGTTATTTAACTAATTATGTGACTTCTGAAGGTAATTGGTTGCACCAGATCTTATTTAGGGGCTTCATAGCAAAGGGGGTGAATACATATGCACGCACCAGTTGTCAGTTATTTATTTCTTAGACTTTTTTTAAAACACGTTTTTTTCATTTCACTTCACCAATTTGGACTATTTTGTGTATGTCCATTACATGAAATCCAAATAAAAATCCATTTAAATTACAGGTTGTAATGCAACAAAATAGGAAAAACGCCAAGGGGGATGAATACTTTTGCAAGGCACTGTAATAAGTTGCATGGACTCACTCTGTGTGCAATAATAGTGTTTAACATGATTTTTGTATGACTACCTCATCTCTGTACCCCACACATACAATTATCTGTAAGGTCCCTCAGTCGAGCAGTGAATTTCAAACACAGAATCAAACCTTTAAGCATAGTGAAATTATTAATTACATTTTGGATGGTGTATCAATACACCCAGTCACTACAAAGATACAGGTGTCCTTCCTAACTCAGTTGCCGGAGAGGAATGAAACCGCTCAGGGATTTCACCATGAGGCCAATGGTGAATTTAAAACAGTTAGAGTTTAATGGCTGTGATTAGGAGAAAACTGAGGATGGATCAACAACATTGTAGTTACTCCACAATACTAAGCTAAATGACAGAGTGAAAATATTCCAAAACATGCATCCTGTTTGCAACAAGGTACGAAAGTAAAACTGCAAAGCGTTATGTTTCAGGCAAACACAACACTGAGTACCACTCTTCATATTTTCAAGCATGGTGGTGGCTGCATCATGTTATGGGTATGTTTGTCAACGGCAAGGACTAGGGAGTTTTTCAGGATAAAAAAAGAAACGGAATGGAGCTAAGCACAGACAAATTCCTAGAGGAAAACCTGGTTCAGTTTGCTTCCCAACAGACGCTGGGAGCCAAATTCACCTTTCAGCAGGACAATAACCTAAAACACAAGGCCAAATATACACTGGAGTTTCTTACCAAGAAGACATTGAATGTTCCTGAGTGGCCTAATTACAGTTTTGACTTAAATCGGCTTGAAAATCTATGGCAAGACCTGAAAATGGTTGTCTAGCAATGATCAACAACCAACTTGACAGAGCTTGAAGAATTATAAAAATAATAATATGAAAATATTTTACAATCCAGGTGTGCAAAGTTCTTAGAGACTTACCAGAAAGATTCACAGCTGTAATCGCTGCCAAAGGTGATTTTAACATGTATTGACTCAGGGGTGTGAATACTTATGTAAAATTAGATATTTCTGTATTTCCTTTTCAATACATTTGCTAAAATATCTAAAAACATATTTTCACTTTTTGTCATTATGGGGTCTTGTGTGTAGATGGGTGAGGGGGGAAAAAACCAATGTCATCCATTTTGAACTGAGGCTGAAACACAACAACATGTGGAATGAGTCCAGGGGGGTATGAATACTTTCTGAATGCACTGTACAACAGATTGATAGTGTGCATCATTTTGATATGGACAGAGCAGAGAGATCCGTAGCCAATCAGAAAATATAACATTTGTCTCTGTCTCAGATGCCATATAGTTCCCTAAACAGTACTATATATGGAGACAGGGTGTCACTAGACGTCTTCTGTATCTCTTAGTTCCCAGCTATAGTAACGAACAAATCAATTAAATCAATCAATCAATGGATTGATCAGTCACAGCTCCCATCCTCCCATCCGTCCCTCCACCGCTCATCCACGCGGGAACAGTCAAACCGCTGCTTCCCCAGCCGAGCGTTAACGTCGTTATGGATACCACACAGCCACTGGGAGAGGGCATGACGACTACTGGCGTCTGGCTGATTGGTCTTCAACCTGAGGAAACAGGAAGTGATGTCATTAGTAAACACTGCGGTCGGGGTTCCTGCCTGGATCTGACAATGCCTGGATAGGTATTTAACATATCAGCTAACCACATATGATATAGCAATCTGACGCCCAAGTGGATTACGTGACATGCAATGCAACTCCTGGGTATCTAGTTGGACAGGAAGTGGACCTGTGTCTGCTGCCAGTCACCCAGCCATCTGTGACCTTTAACCCACTAGAACCAAATAATACAAACGCTCAACACCAGCCACAAAAGCAGCTAACGTAACACACATTAACATAACACCTGACCCCTGACCTCTGACCTCTAACCCACGACCAAAAACACCTGACCACTGACCTCTGACCTCTAACCCACGACCAAAAACACCTGACCACTGACCTCTGACCTCTAACCTCTAACCCACGACCAATAACACCTGACCTCTGACCTCTAACCCACGACCAAAAACACCTGACCCCTGACCTCTAACCCACGACCAAAAACACCTGACCTCTGACCTCTAACCCACGACCAAAAACACCTGACCCCTGACCCACGACCAAAAACACCTGACCTCTGACCTCTAACCCACGACCAAAAACCCCTGACCCCTGACCTTGTCCGCAGGTCCTCAGCACACTCTTGGCAGGGGAAGACCTTAGAGAAGAGGTTGATGAACTGTCCCATGTCTGTCTGCTGTCTGGGGGAGGGCCGGTCTGGGTAGTAGGCTGCCATGGTGTGCAGGAAGGACCAGGTGTTACGCCCTAACTCTTCCCTGTCCGGCGGACACTCCGGCTGCAGCTGGGGCTCCACACGCTCAGCCTGGGCCGCCTACACACACACACACACACACACACACACACACACACACACACACACACACACACACACACACACACACACACAGGGAGACAGACACATTCTGCTTTACTGACTGGTCTGATGGGCATTACCAAGTCATCATTACACAACATGATGAAACGCAGGCAGAGTTAGTGGGGCTATCCACACTGACATCGTTCAGGTTTACTGATCTAAATAGGTCTTCTAGGACTAGATAATAACCTTGTTTCTAATCTAAATAGGTCTTCGAGGACTAGATAATAACCTTGTTTCTAATCTAAATAGGTGTTTTACCTTGTTTTACATTCAAAGTGTTTTACAACTGGCTATGATAGCGGAGGTTCATAGCTTTATTTGTATGTATTTATTTCACCTTTATTTAACCAGGTAAGAAGCCAGTTGAGAACAAGTTCTCATTTACAACTGCGACCTGGCCAAGATAAAGCAAAGCAGTGCGATAAAAACAACAACACAGAGTTACATATGGGGTAAAACAAAACATAAAGTCAAAAAATATAACAGAAAATATATATACAGTGTGTGCAAATGTAGCAAGTTATGAAAGTAAGGCAATAAATAGGCTATAGTGCAAAATAATTACAATAGTATTAACACTGGAATGATAGATGTGCAGAAGATGATGTGCAAATAGAGATACTGGGGTGCAAAAGAGCTAAATAAATAACAATATGGGGATGAGGTAGTTGGGTGGGCTAATTTCAGATGGGCTGTGTACAGGTGCAGTGATCGGTAAGGTGCTCTGACAACTGATGCGTAAAGTTAGTGAGGGAGATAAGAGTCTCCAGCTTCAGAGATTTTTGCAGTTCGTTCCAGTCATTGGCAGCAGAGAACTGGAAGGAATGGCGGCCAAAGGAGGTGTTGGCTTTGGGGATGACCAGTGAGATATACCTGCTGGAGCGCAGACTACGGGTGGGTGTTGCTATGGCGACCAGTGAGCTAAGGTAAGACGGGGATTTGCCTAGCAGTGATTTATAGATGGCCTGGAGCCAGTGGGTTTGGCGATGAACATGTAGTGAGGGCCAGCCAACGAGAGCGTTCAGGTCACAGCGGTGGGTAGTATATGGGGCTTTGGTGACAAAACGGATGGCACTGTGATAGACTACATCCAATTTGCTGAGTAGAGTGTTGGAGGCTATTTTGTAAATGACATTGCCGAAGTCAAGTATCGGTAGGATAGTCAGTTTTACGAGGGCATGTTTGGCAGCATGAGTGAAGGAGGCTTTGTTGCGAAATAGGAAGCCGATTCTAGATCTAACTTTGGATTGAAAATGCTTAATGTGAGTCTGGAAGGAGAGTTTACGGTATAACCAGACACCTAGGTATTTGTAGTTGTCTACATATTCTAAGTCAGACCCACCGAGAGTAGCGATTCTAGTCGGGTGGGCAGGTGCAAGCAGCGTTCGGTTGAAGAGCATGCATTTAGTTTTACTAGCGTTTAAGAGCAGTTGGAGGCTATGGAAGGAGTGTTGTATGGCATTGAAGCTCGTTTGGAGGTTTGTTAACACAGTGTCCAATGAAGGGCCAGATGTATACAAAATGGTGTCGTCTGCGTAGAGGTGGATCTGAGAGTCACCAGCAGCAAGAGCGACATCATTGATATACACGGAGAAAAGAGTCCGCCCAAGAATTGAACCCTGTGGCATCCCCATAGAGACTGCCATAGGTCCAGACAACAGGCCCTCCGATTTGACACACTGAACTCTATCTGAGAAGTAGTTGGTGAACCAGGCGAGGCAGTCATTTGAGAAACCAAGGCTATTTAGTCTGCCAATAAGAATGCGGTGGTTGACAGAGCCGAAAGCCTTGGCCAGGTCGATGAAAACGACTGCACAGTACTGTCTTTTATCGATCGCGGTTATAATATCGTTTAGGACCTTGAGCGTGGCTGAGGTGCACCCATGACCAGCTCAGAAACCGGATTGCATAGCGGAGAAGGTACGGTGGGATTCGAAATGGTCGGTGATCTGTTTGTTAACTTGGCTTATGTTCATAGCTAGGTTCATAGACATTTACATTTTACATTTTAGTCATTTAGCAGACGCTCTTATCCAGAGCGACTTACAGGAGCAATTAGGGTTAAGTGCCTTGCTCAAGGGCACATTAACGTCATTTAGCAGACGCTCTTAGCCAGAGGGACTCGCAAATAGCTAACTAGCTAATATTGACATTATAATATTGACATGTAACAGTCATTTTCTGCCATTAATGATTGACTGGTGGAAGCAATTAAAACTCCTGTTCTGAACTAATATTTACACCAAACGTTTTAGAGTCCAAACACAGATCTACTACACAGCTAGCTACTCATCCACAGGCATACAGCTACAGTGAGGGAAAAAGTATTTGATCCCCTGCTGATTTTGTACATTTTGCCCACTGACAAAGACATGATCAGTCTATAATTTTAATGGTAGGTTTATTTGAACAGTGAGAGACAGAATAACAATAACAAAAATCCAGAAAAAACGCATGTCAAAAATGTTATAAATTGATTTGCATTTTAGTGAGGGAAATAAGTATTTGACCCCCTCTGCAAAACATGACTTAGTACTCGGTGGCAAAACCCTTGTTGGCAATCACAGAGGTCAGACGTTTCTGGTAGTTGGCCACCAGGTTTGCACACATCTCAGGAGGGATTTTGTCCCACTCCTCTTTGCAGATCTTCTCCAAGTCATTAAGGTTTCGAGGCTGACGTTTGGCAACTCGAACCTTCAGCTCCCTCCACAGATTTTCTATGGGATTAAGGTCTGGAGACTGGCAAGCCCCTCCAGGGCCTTAATTGTGCTTCTTCTTGAGCCACTCTTTTGTTGCCTTGGCCGTGCGTTTTGGGTCATTGTCATGCTGGAATACCCATCCACGACCCATTTTCAATGCCCTGGCTGAGGAAAGGAGGTTCTCATCTCCCGAGTGGCGCAGTGGTCTAAGGCACTGCATCGCAGTGCTAGCTGTGCCACTAGAGATCCTGGTTTGAATCCAGGCTCTGTTGTAGCCGGCTGTGACCGGGAGACCAATGGGGCAGCGCACAATTCATCCAGGGTAGGGGAGGGAATGGCCGGCAGGGATGTAGCTCTGTTGGTAGAGCATGGCGTTTGCAACGCCAGGGTTGTGGGTTCGATTCCCACGGGGGGCCAGTATGAAAATGTATGCACTCACTTAACTGTAAGTCGCGTCTGCTAAATGACTAAAATGTAAATGTGAAATGAATGGGAAGCTGTGTTTCACCGCGCGGTGCCGCCCACTAGTGTTCACAGGCCGTCCTGCGCTTCAAATGACAAAACAAGTCTATTTTCCTCATGTCTCCGCGAAGCAATGCTGGTCAAGTGAGCGGATAAATTGTCTGAAAATAGACTGTTTGTGCATTGTTACGTCTGGAATTGTGACACGTATAGTTAAACATGGGTCCATTTAGTGTTGATACGTTTAGCTGCCAGTGCCAATAATACATATCTGAAAACAATTAACTTTATGCCTTCCTTTATTGATTTCGAGTACAGGCATTTACCCTTGGCAGGCGGCTGGGAAAGTCGAGGAACTCCATTCAAGAGAGAATACTGTTATCTAGAAAGAAGGAGACCAGCTAAATTCTTTATAAACCGCTAGGGTGTTTTAGCTAGAACTTTCCTCACTTTCATGACCAAATATAACAGGAGGCAGGTACGATGGCTCCCGGTGGTTCCCGTATCCGTACGAGTGAAAAGGAACACACAACAACCATTCACAAGGGCTACATAGCGAACATAACAAATACAACGGTTTATTATGGATTCTCCTGATAATTACGTTGGCATACGCTACGCAGTGTATGTGAATTGACTCTCGCTCGCAAAATTTGACGTAATTGACGGCTTCTTTTCTGTGTGATTTGGGCTTAACTGTAGTTGATGTTTCTCACAGTCTGCCTGGCTGCTCCCCGTGGTGAACCCAGCTCACCTGTGACGCTGCTGCTGCTGGGCTCTGCGGCGTTTTCTGGACCTTCATCCACGACTTGAAGTCGGTACAAGCCCTGCACGGCTTCTTCTTCGGTTCTCCGGTCTGCTCCGGGTCCTTACCGGGGCTGTCCTCCGGGGGCCTGCCGGTTATGATGGGGAACCTCTGGACCGCGGGCAGGCTCTCGGTGGATGATCCTCCGGTGGACGCGGCCATGTCCGCTGTGTAACTGTGGGATGGATCTGTCATCGGAACAGAACTGAAGGACGCTTCCGTTATAACGCTTTATAACTCCTCCTCCATGTGTTCTGTACATGACACCCGGCCTCTATTTTCACCAACTATGTCTGAATTAATTCTAAATTTGTAGGACAGTAAGTCCACTCGAACAGTGTTCTGTAAACTATTAGAGAATTGACTAGGAAATATATTTCCAGGTAGTTAGATGTTTTGTTCCCCACCGGATTGAAAAGAGAACGGAACCCTCCAGTTCCGGTTTGTGATGTCATTTTTCTATGCATGCAGCTGAGGCCGAACACATTTAAAGTGTATATTTCATAGATATTACTACATGCTAATCAGTTTTTGTGTTTGTTTGTTAACTTCTTTGTTTTATAGTTAAAATCTGTAGTTTTCATTTGATTGACCAATTATCGTGGTTATCCTTTTCACTACTTGGCTAACACAGAAAGCTAACGCTAGTTAGCCCGGCTATTGTGGAGGTGCAGTGCTAACGCTAGTTAGCCCGGCTATTGTGGAGGTGCAGTGCTAACGCTAGTTAGCCAGGCTATTGTGGAGGTGCAGTGCTAACGCTAGTTAGCCCGGCTATTATTGTGGAGGTGCGTGCAACGCTAGTTAGCCCGCTATTGGGGGGTGCGTGCTAACGCTAGTTACCCGCTATTGTGGAGGTGCGTGCTCCTGTTGGGCCCCTAATTGTGGAGGTGCAGTGCTACGCTAGTTTTGCCCGCTATTGTGGAGAGCGTTTACACGTTTCAGTCCACAGGAAGGTTGGGGGCACCTTATATTCGGAGGGCGGGGGCTCGTGGTATGGCTGGAGCGGATGTTTCAACCATGGGTTTTTATGGGTTTGCTCGTCCGTTCGCCTGTTCCACCATTATATGGCCGTCCCCCCCCAGCCTCCACCTTTGTCTGAGTGTGGGCTCTCTCCCGGCAGTACCGCTATGTGTCTTCCCTCCCAGGATAACCATCTGATGTGTCCCGTCTCTTCCAGGCATAAACCCGTCTAGGTCTGTCTCTCTCAGGGAGTAACCAGTCTGATGTGTCTTTTCTCTCTCCAGGGAGTAACCCGTCTGATGTTGTACCACTTTTCCCGTTATTTATTTCTTATAATTTTTTCATTTCACTTTCACCAGTTTGGACTATTTTGTGTATGTCCATTAACATGAAATCCAATAAAAAATCAATTTAAATAACAGGTGGTAATGCAACGAAATTGGAAAGCCAAGGGTGATGAATACCTTTTGCAAGGGCACTGTAATACGTTGCAGCATGGAATCACTGTGTGCAATAATAGCATTTTAACGTGATTTGTTGTATGACTACCTCATCTCTGTACCCCAACACATACAATTATCTGTACGGTCCCCTCAGTCCAGCGTGAATTCAAACACAGAAATCAAACCCTTGAGCATGGTGAATTATTAATTACATTTTGGGATGGTGTATCAAATACACGCCAGTCACTACAAAAGAACAGGCGTCCTTCATAACTCAGCTAACGGAGAGGAGAACCGCTCAGGGATTTCACCATTAAGCCAATGGTGACTTTAAAAACAGGTGATAGTTAAAACCTGGCTGTTATGGTAGAAACCCTGAGGATGGTTCAACAACATTGAAGTTTACTCCATAATACCAAGCTAAATGACAGAGAGAAAATATTCCAAACATTGCATCCTGTTTGGGTCCAACCCAACACATCACTGAAGTACCACTCTTCATATTTTCAAGCATGGTGTTGGCTTGCATCATGTTATGGGTATGCTTGGTCAACGGCAAGGACTAGGGAGTTTTCAGGATAAAAAAGAACACGGAATGGTACTAAGCCCCACAGACACATTCCTAGAGGAAAACCTGGTTCAGTCTGCTTCCCCAACAGACGCTGGGAGCCAAATTCACCTTTCAGCAGGACCAATAACCTAAAAACAACAAGGCCAAATAGACACGGAGTTTCTTACCAAGACAGTGAATGTTTCCTGAGTGGCCTAGTTACATTTTGAACTTAAATCAGGCTTGAAATCTATGGCAAGACTTGAAAATGGTTGTCTAGGAATGATCAACAACCAACTTGACAGAGCTTGAAGAATTATAAAAATAATAATATGAAATATTTTACCAATCCAGGTGTGCAAAGTTCTTAGTAGAACTTACCAGAAAGATTCACAGCTGTAATCCGCTGCCAAAGGTGATTTTAACATGTATTGACTCAGGGGTGTGAATACTTATGTAAAATTAGATATTTCTGTATTTCCTTTTCAATACATTTGGCTAAAATATCTAAAAAAACATTTTCACTTTTGTCATTATGGGGTCTTGTGTGTAGATGGGTGAGGGGGAAAAAAACCAATGTATCCATTTTGAACTGAGGCTGAAACACAACAACATGTGGAATGAGTCCAGGGGGGGTATGAATACTTTCTGAATGCACTGTACAAACAGATTGATAGTGTGCATCATTTTGATATGGACAGAGCAGAGAGATCCGTAGCCAATCAGAAAATATAACATTTTTCTCTGTCTCAGATGCCATATAGTTCCCTAAACAGTACTATATATGGGGACAGGGTGTCAAATAGACGTCTTCTGTATCTCTTAGTTCCCGGCTATAGTAACGAACAATCAATTAAATCAATCAATCAATGGATTGATCAGTCACAGCTCCCATCCTCCCCTCCGTCCCTCCACCGCTCATCCACGCGGGAACAGTCAAACCGCTGCTTCCCCCAGCCGAGCGTTAACGTCGTTATGGATACCACACAGCCACTGGGAGAGGGCATGACGACTACTGGCGTCTGGCTGATTGGTCTTCAACCTTGAGGAAACAGGAAGTGATGTCATTAGTAAACACTGCGGTCGGGGTTCCTGCCTGGATCTGACAATGCCTGGATAGGTATTTAACATATCAGCTAACCACATATGATATAGCAATCTGACGCCCGAGTGGATTACGTGACATGCAATGCAACTCCTGGGTATCTAGTTGGACAGGAAGTGGACCTGTGTCTGCTGCCAGTCACCCAGCCATCTGTGACCTTTAACCCACTAGAACCAAATAATACAAACGCTCAACACCAGCCACAAAAGCAGCTAACGTAACACACGTTAACATAACCCCTGACCACTGACCTCTAACCTCTAACCCACGACCAAAAACACCTGACCACTGACCTCTAACCTCTAACCCACGACCAAAAACACCTGACCCCTGACCTCTAACCTCTAACCAAAAACCAAAAACACCTGACCACTGACCTCTAACCTCTAACCCACGACCAAAAACACCTGACCACTGACCACTGACCTCTAACCTCTAACCCACGACCAAAAACACCTGACCACTGACCACTGACCTCTAACCTCTAACCCACGACCAAAAACACCTGACCACTGACCTCTAACCTCTAACCCACGACCAAAAACACCTGACCACTGACCTCTAACCTCTAACCCACGACCAAAAACACCTGACCACTGACCACTGACCTCTAACCTCTAACCCACGACCAAAAACACCTGACCACTGACCACTGACCTCTAACCTCTAACCCACGACCAAAAACACCTGACCACTGACCTCTAACCTCTAACCCACGACCAAAAACACCTGACCACTGACCTTTGACCTCTAACCTCTAACCCACGACCAAAAACACCTGACCACTGACCTCTAACCTCTAACCCACGACCAAAAACACCTGACCACTGACCTCTGACCTCTAACCTCTAACCCACGACCAAAAACACCTGACCACTGACCTCTAACCTCTAACCCACGACCAAAAACACCTGACCACCTGACCTCTAACTCTAACCCAACCACTACCAAAACCCACCTGAACCCTGACCTCTAACCTCTAAACCACCACGACCCAAAAAAAACAACCTGACTCACTGACCTCTGCCTCTAACCTCTAACCCCGCCCAAGGAAACACCTGACCCCTGACCTCTAACCCTCTAACCCACGACCAAAAAAAAAAAAACACCTGACCTGACCTTGTTCCGCAGGTCCCAGCACACTCTTGATTGGAAAGACCTTGAGAAGAGGTTTGATGAACTGTCCCATGTCTGTCTGCTGTCTGGGGGAGGGCCGGTCTGGGTAGTAGGCTGGCCATGGGTTGTTCAGGAGGACCAGGGGTTTAACGCCCTACTCTTCCCTGTCCAGCGGACACTCTCGGCTGCCGCTGTGCTCTCCACACGCTCAGCCTGGCCGCCTACACACACACAACAGGGAAGACATACAGACACACACACACACACACACACACACACACACACACACACACACACACAGGGAGACAGACAGACAGACACATTCTGCTTGACTGACTGGTCTGATGGGCATTACCAAGTCATCATTACACAACATGATGAAACGCATGCAGAGTTAGTGGGGCTATGCACACTGACATCATTCAGGTTTACTGATCTAAATAGGTCTTCTAGGACTAGATAATAACCTTGTTTCTAATCTAAATAGGTCCTCTAGGACTAGATAATAACATTGTTTCTAATCTAAATAGGTCCTCTAGGACTAGATAATAACATAGTTTCATCAACATTTTCGTGAACAGTAGAGCCCTGGCTGAGTCATAACAACGTGACCGTTTCCAGAGGAGTCCACGAGGCAACAGTTTATCAGCTCCATAAACAGTTTATCAGCTCCATAAACAGTTTATCAGCTCCATAAACAGTGACGTTTTCTCAAACAAGTAGCTTACGGTAGGTTTGGCGCTAATAAACTTCAGTCAAGAGGACAGTCCGTCAGTTTCTAAAAGGCCAAATCGAAAGAAACGCGTGTTTTTTACTCGAGCGAACGAGCGTGTACACGCTGGAATTAAGAATGCACGTTAGTTGAAACGGCCCACGAACGTCAGTACGCGGTAAAGCCACGTAACGCCCCGGCCGCCCAGAGTGGCAGGTTCTGTTGTGTACTTCCCTAGAAGTGAGGACGGAGATAACAGCAACATCATATTCAGTGCTGTCTAATATGAGTATAATGAAGCCTGTTTCTTTGTGATGTTTTCTGTCCTCGGATACAGAGAGCTGTGGAAGCCTGTCCGCAGATGAAGAGGTCCCAGTGAAGAGCGGTGGTTCTCAGTCCTGGTCCCGGGGACTCAAAGGGGTTGCACGTTTTAGTTTTTGCCTTACACAGCTGGTTCAAATGATCAACTCATCATCAAGCTTCAAGTGGTATTTATGTATTCATTTATGATGCTATCCTTGATATGATCCTGCTGTTGTCACATGCACATGATTTGTTTATAAGAGATATTATACTTTAGTAATCCCCAATGACCTGGTAATGTAAAAGTCGAATAATGACATTATCTTCCATATTCCTACAGATAATGAGCATTTGTAAAGTATTCAGACCCCTTCCCTTTTTTTTTCCACATGTTGTTACGTTACAGCCTTATTCTAAAATGGATTAAATTATTTTCCCCCTCATCAATCTACACACAGCACCCCATAACGACAAAGCGAAAACAGGTTTTTAGAAATGTGTGCAAATGTATTAAAAATATAAAACAGAAAGACCTTATTTACATAAGTATTCAGACCCTTTGCTATGAGACTCGAAATTGAGCTCAGGTGCATCCTGTTTCCATTGATCATCCTTGAGATGTTTCTACAACTTGATTGGAGTCCACCTATGGTAAATTCAATTGATTGGACATGATTTGGAAAGGCACACACCTGTCTATATAAGGTCCCACAGTTGACAGTGCATGTCAGAGCAAAAACCAAGCCATGAGGAACTGTCCGTAGAGCTCAGAGACAGGATTGTGTCGAGGCACAGATCTGGGGAAGGGTACCAAAACATTTCTGCTGGTTGAGAGAATGCCAAGAGCGTGCAAAGCTGTCATCAAGGCAAAAGGTGGCTACTTTGAAGAATCTCAAATATAAAATATATTTTGATTAGTTTAACACTTTTTTGGTTACTACATGATTCCATATGTGTTATTTCATAGTTTTGATGTCTTCACTATTATTCTACAATGTAAAAAATAAAGAAAAACCCTGGAATGAGTAGGTGTGTCCAAACTTTTGACTGGTGCTGTATATGAATGACAAAATCAGCCTTTAACTAGTTAAATCATGTGTTCTAGTCTACTGCAGCGTTACAATGTGTAACCATTGATGTCCCAGGACCAGGATCGGTAAACACTGTTGAAGTGTATAATTGTAACACAGCATCATTCAGAGACTGGAGTTTGATACTCCTGGATATGACTGAAAAATAACGTCTCACAGACATTCATACCTGAACCGCACCTTTATTTGCCAAGGTAGAGTCCATGATCAGTGAATATATTCAATGTACAGGCTACAATGTGGGGAAACTCATGCTTGGTAATAACTACATGTATTTACCACGTGCATCCTTGGCACAATATTCTACTCAATCCATAGGCTTCATTGATGCCATTCAAAGTGTTTTGAAGTCACTACGACTGGCTATGATAGCGGAGGTTCATAGGTTTTTATTTATTTATTTCACCTTTATTTAACCAGGTAAGCCAGTTGAGAACAAGTTCTCATTTACAACTGCGACCTGGCCAAGATAAAGCAAAGCAGTGCGATAAAAACAACAACACAGAGTTACATATGGGGTAAAACAAAACATAAAGTCAAAAAATACAACAGAAAATATATATACAGTGTGTTCAAATGTAGCAAGTTATGGAGGTAAGGCAATAAATAGGCCATAGTGCAAAATAGTTACAATTAGTATTAACACTGGAATGATAGATGCGCAAGAGATGATGTGCAAATAGAGATACTGGGTGCAAATTAGCAAAATAAATAACAATATGGGGATGAGGTAGTTGGGTGGGCTAATTTCAGATGGGCTGTGTACAGGTGCAGTGATCGGTAAGGTGCTCTGACAACTGATGTTTAAAGTTAGTGAGGGAGATAAGAGTCTCCAGCTTCAGAGATTTTTGCAGTTCGTTCCAGTCATTGGCAGCAGAGAACTGGAAGGAATGGCGGCCAAAGGAGGTGTTGGCTTTGGGGATGACCAGTGAGATATACCTGCTGGAGCGCAGACTACGGGTGGGTGCTGCTATGGTGACCAGTGAGCTAAGGTAAGACAGGGATTTGCCTAGCAGTGATTTATAGATGACCTGGAGCCAGTGGGTTTGGCGACGAACATGTAGTGAGGACCAGCCAACAAGAGCGTACAGGTCACAGTGGTGGGTAGTATATGGGGCTTTGGTGACAAAAACGGATGGCATTGTGATAGACTACATCCAATTTGCTGAGTAGAGTGTTGGAGGCTGTTTTGTAAATGACATCGCCGAAGTCAAGGATCGGTAGGATAGTCAGTTTTTACGAGGGCATGTTTGGCAGCATGAGTGAAGGAGGCTTTGTTGCGAAATAGGAAGCCGATTCTAGATCTAACTTTGGATTGGAGATGCTTAATGTGAGTCTGGAAGGAGAGTTTACAGTCTAACCAGACACCTAGGTATTTGTAGTTGTCCACATACTCTAGGTCAGACCCGTCGAGAGTGGTGATTCTAGTCGGGTGGGGCGGGTGCCAGCAGCGTTCGATTGAAAAGCATGCATTTAGTTTTACTAGTGTTTAAGAGCAGTTGGAGGCTACTGAAGGAGTGTTGTATGGCATTGAAGCTCGTTTGGAGGTTTGTTAACACAGTGTCCAATGAAGGGCCAGATGTATACAAAATGGTGTCGTCTGCGTAGAGGTGGATCTGAGAGTCACCAGCAGCAAGAGCGACATCATTGATATACACGGAGAAAAGTGTCGGCCCAAGAATTGAACCCTGTGGCACCCCCATAGAGACCGCCATAGGTCCAGACAACAGGCCCTCCGATTTGACACATTGAACTCTATCTGAAAAGTAGTTGGTGAACCAGGCGAGGCAGTCATTTGAGAAACCAAGGCTATTTAGTCTGCCAATAAGAATGCGGTGGATTGACAGAGTCGAAAGCCTTGGCCAGGTCGATGAAGACGGCTGCGCAGTACTGTCTATTATCGATCACGGTTATAATATAGTTTAGGACCTTGAGCGTGGCTGAGGTGCACCCATGACCAGCTCGGAAACCGGATTGCATAGCGGAGAAGGTACGGTGGGATTCGAAATGGTCGGTGATCTGTTTGTTAACTTGGCTTATGTTCATAGCTAATATTGACATTATAATATTGACATGTAACAGTCATTTTCTGCCATTAATGATTGACTGGTGGAAGCAATTAAAACTCCTGTTCTGAACTAATATTTATACCAAACGTTTTAGGGTCCAAACACAGATCTACTACACATCCATAGGCATACAGGTACAGTGAGGAAAAAAGTATTTGATCCCCTGCTGATTTTGTATATTTGCCCACTGACAAAGACATGATCAGTCTATCATTTTAATGGTAGGTTTATTTGAACAGTGAGAGACAGAATAACAACAAAAAAATCCAGAAAAAAACGCATGTCAAAAATGTTATAAATTGATTTGCATTTTAATGAGGGAAATAAGTATTTGACCTCTCTGCAAAACATGACTTAGTACTTGGTGGCAAAACCCTTGTTGGCAATCACAGAGGTCAGACGTTTCTGGTAGTTGGCCACCAGGTTTGCACACATCTCAGGAGGGATTTTGTCCCACTCCTCTTTGCAGATCTTCTCCAAGTCATTAAGGTTTCGAGGCTGACGTTTGGCAACTCGAACCTTCAGCTCCCTCCACATATTTTCTATGGGATTAAGGTCTGGAGACTGGCTAGGCCACTCCAGGACCTTAATGTGCTTCTTCTTGAGCCACTCCTTTGTTGCCTTGGCCGTGTGTTTTGGGTCATTGTCATGCTGGAATACCCATCCACGACCCATTTTCAATGCCCTGGCTGAGGAAAGGAGGTTCTCATCTCCCGAGTGGCGCAGTGGTCTAAGGCACTGCAGTGCTAGCTGTGCCACTAGAGATCCTGGTTTGAATCCAGGCTCTGGGGCGGCGCACAAGTCATCCAGGGTAGGGGAGGGAATGGCCGGCAGGGATGTAGCTCTGTTGGTAGAGCATGGCGTTTGCAACGCCAGGGTTGTGGGTTCGATTCCCACGGGGGGCCAGTATGAAAATGTATGCACTCACTTACCTGTAAATCGCGTCTGCTAAATTACGTAAATGTAAAATGAATGGGAAGCGGTGTTTCACCGCGCGGTGCCGCCCACTAGTGTTCACGGGCCGTCCTGCGCTTCAAATGACAAAACAAGTCTATATTCCTCATGTCTACGCGAAGCAATGCTGGTCAAGTGAGCGGATAAATTGTCTGAAAATAGACTCTTTGTGCATTGTTACGTCTGGAATTGTGACACGTATAGTTAAACATGGGTCCATTTAGTGTTGATACGTTTAGCTGCCAGTGCCAATAATACATATCTGAAAACAATTAACTTTATGCCTTCCTTTATTGATTTCGAGTACAGGCATTTACCCTTGGCAGGCGGCTGGGAAAGTCGAGGAACTCCATTCAAGAGAGAATACTGTTATCTAGAAAGAAGGAGACCAGCTAAATTCTTTATAAACCGCTAGGGTGTTTTAGCTAGAACTTTCCTCACTTTCATGACCTAATGTAACAGGAGGCAGGTACGGTGGCTCCCGTTTGGCTCCCGGTGGCTCCCGTATCCGTACGAGTGAAAAGGAACACACAACAATCATTCACAAGGGCTACATAGCGAACATAACAAATACAACGGTTTATTATGGATTCTCCTGATAATTACGTTGGCATACGCTACGCAGTGTATGTGAATTGACTCTCGCTCGCAAAATTTGACGTAATTGACGGCTTCTTTTCTGTGTGATTTGGGCTTAACTGTAGTTGATGTTTCTCACAGTCTGCCTGGCTGCTCCCCGTGGTGAACCCAGCTCACCTGTGACGCTGCTGCTGCTGGGCTCTGCGGCGTTTTCTGGACCTTCATCCACGACTTGAAGTCGGTACAAGCCCTGCACGGCTTCTTCTTCGGTTCTCCGGTCTGCTCCGGGTCCTTACCGGGGCTGGCCTCCGGGGGCCTGCCGGTTATGATGGGGAACCTCTGGACCGCGGGCAGGCTCGCGGTGGATGATCCTCCGGTGGACGCGGCCATGTCCGCTGTGTAACTGTGGGATGGATCTGTCATCGGAACAGAACTGAAGGACGCTTCCGTTATAACGCTTTATAACTACTCCTCCATGTGTTCTGTACATGACACCCGGCCTCTATTTTCACCAACTACACATGTCTGAATTAATTCTAAACTTGTAGGACAGTAAGTCCACTCGAACAGTGTTCTGTAAACTATTAGAGAATTGACTAGGAAATATATTTCCAGGTAGTTAGATGTTTTGTTCCCCACCGGATTGAAAAGAGAACGGAACCCTCCAGTTCCGGTTTGTGATGTCATTTTTCTATGCATGCAGCTGAGCCGAACACATTTAAAGTGTATATTTCATAGATATTACTACATGCTAATCAGTTTTTGTGTTTGTTTGTTAACTTCTTTGTTTTATAGTTAAAATCTGTAGTTTTAATTTGATTGACCATTATCGTGGTTATCCTTTTCACTCACTTTGGCTAACACAGAAAGCTAACGCTAGTTAGCCGGCTATTGTGGAGGTGCAGTGCTAACACGTTTCATTCACAGGGGTGGTAGCACTCTAATCGGTAGTAGCGGCAGACTTGGGGGGGGGGGGGGCTCGTGGTAATGGCTGGAGCGGAATGGTGTCAAACACATGGTTTCTATGGGTTTGCTCGTCCATTCGCTCTGTTCCAGCCATTATTATGAGCCGTCCTCCCCCCCAGCAGCCTCCACTTGTTTGTCTGATGTGTCTGTCTCTCTCCGTTTAGTACCAGTCCCGATTCTGTCTCTCTCCAGCAGTAACAGTCTGATGTGTCTGTCCTCTCCAGGCAGTACCCAGTCCCCCTGATGTTCTGTCTCTCCCAGCTAACCATCGTGTTCTGTCTCTCTCCGGAGTAACCGTCTGATGTGTCTGTCCTCTCAGGCAGTAACCAGTCTGATGTGTCTGTCTCTCTCCAGGCAGTAACCAGTCTGATGTGTCTGTCTCTCTCCAGGCAGTAACCAGTCTGATGTGTCTGTCTCTCTCCAGGCAGTAACCAGTCTGATGTGTCTGTCTCTCTCCAGGCAGTAACCAGTCTGATGTGTCTGTCTCTCTCCAGGCAGTAACCAGTCTAGAAGTGTAACCTGCCCATTGCCATCAACATGGGTATCCTGGAGAAGATAGGAGAGATAGAGAGAGAGATCTCTCGAACACAGAAAAACAAAGGTAAGACGGAGAGGTCTGCCGAGAGTGGCCGGCTGATTAGCTAGCCAGTTACTCTGATGTCAGTCACGCCTCGCTAGTGGGGTCTGTCTACCCAGGACATTTCAATCAACCCATGTCACAATGAGAGTGGGAGCACGAAGTAGTGTGCTGACTGCCTGGGCTCTGAACACTAATTAGTGGGCTGACTGCCTGGGCTCTGAACACTAATTAGTGGGCTGACTGCCTGGGCTCTGAACACTAATTAGTGGGCTGACTGCCTGGGCTCTGAACACTAATTAGTGGGCTGACTGCCTGGGCTCTGAACACTAATTAGTGGGCTGACTGCCTGGGCTCTGAACACTAATTAGTGGGCTGACTGCCTGGGCTCTGAACACTAATTAGTGGGCTGACTGCCTGGGCTCTGAACACTAATTAGTGGGCTGACTGCCTGGGCTCTGAACACTAATTAGTGTGCTGACTGCCTGGGCTCTGAACACTAATTAGTGGGCTGACTGCCTGGGCTCTGAACACTAATTAGTGGGCTGAACTGCCTGGGCTCTGAACACTAATTAGTGGGCTGACTGCCTGGGCTCTGAACACTAATTAGTGGGCTGACTGCCTGGGCTCTGAACACTAATTAGTGGGCTACTGCCTGGGTCTCTGAACACATTAAAGTGGGCTGACTGCCTGGTACCTCAGTACTGAGAAACTATAAGTTGTTGAACCAACCTAATCTTCCCACTATTTTCCCCTGTGTGTGTGTGTGTGTGTGTGTTGTGTGTGTGCAGCCACTGAGTACCATCTGGGTCTGCTGAAGGCTAAGCTAGCTAAGTACCGCGCCCAGCTGCTGGAGCCCTCGAAGTCAGCAGGAGCCAAAGGAGAGGGCTTCGATGTCATGAAGTCTGGAGACGCACGTGTCGCACTGATAGGCTTCCCCTCCGTTGGAAAGGTGGGTCAGACAGGAAACAGACTGAGCACGCTCACAACGTGTCCCCTCCTTTAGTCCTGTGTGTTAACTCATGTCTCTGTCCTCTAGTCCTCTGTGTTAACTCATGTCTCTGTCCTTTAGTCCTCTGTGTTAACTCATGTCTCTGTCCTCTAGTCCTGTGTGTTAACTCATGTTCGCTTTTCCTCTAGTCCTCTGTGTTAACTCATGTCTCTGTCCTCTAGTCCTGTGTGTTAACTCATGTCTCTGTCCTCTAGTCCCTGTGTGTTAACTCATGTCTCTGTCCTCTAGTCCTCTGTGTTAACTCATGTCTCTCTCCTCTAGTCCTGTGTGTTAACTCATGTCTCTGCTCCTCTAGTCCTGTGTGTTAACTCATGTCTCTGTCCTCTAGTCCTGTGTGTTAACTCATGTCTCCTGTCCTCTAGTCCTGTGTGTTAACTCATGTCTGTCCTCTATCCTCTGTGTTAACTCATGTCTGTCCTCTAGGTCCTGTGTGGTTAACTCATGTCTCTGTCCTCTAGTCCTCTGTGTTACTCATGTCCTGTCCCTCTAGTCCTGTGTGTTAACTCAGTCTCTGTCCCTAGTCCTCTGTGTTAACTCATGTCTCTGTCCCTAGTCTGTGTGTTAAACTCATGTCCTCCTGTCCTCTTAGTCCTCTGTGTTAACTCATGTCTCTCTCCTCTAGTCCTGTGTGTTAACTCATGTCTCTCTCCTCTAGTCCTCTGTGTTAACTCATGTCTCTGTCCTCTAGTCCTGTGTGTTAACTCATGTCTCTGTCCTCTAGTCCTGTGTGTTAACTCATGTCTCTGTCCTCTAGTCCTGTGTGTTAACTCATGTCTCTGTCCTCTAGTCCTGTGTGTTAACTCATGTCTCTGTCCTCTAGTCCTGTGTGTTAACTCATGTCTCTGTCCTCTAGTCCTGTGTGTTAACTCATGTCTCTGTCCTCTAGTCCTCTGTGTTAACTCATGTCTCTGTCCTCTAGTCCTGTGTGTTAACTCATGTCTCTGTCCTCTCCTCTAGTCCTGTGTGTTAACTCATGTCTCTGTCCTCTAGTCCTGTGTGTTAACTCATGTCTCTGTCCTCTAGTCCTGTGTGTTAACTCATGTCTCTGTCCCCTCCTCTGTCCTGTGTGTTAAACTCATGTCTCTGTCCTCTAGTCCTGTGTGTTAACTCATGTCTCTGTCCTCTAGTCCTGTGTGTTAACTCATGTCTCTGTCCTCTAGTCCTGTGTTGTTAACTCATGTCTCTGTCCCCTCCTCTAGTCCTGTGTTGTTAACTCATGTCTCTGTCCTCTAGTCCTGTGTGTTAACTCATGTCCTCTGTCCTCTAGTCCTGTGTGTTAACTCATGTCTCTGTCCTCTAGTCCTGTGTGTTAACTCATGTCTCTGTCCTCTAGTGCGGTGTGTTAACTCATGTCTCTGTCCTGTCCTCTAGTCCTGTGTGTTAACTCATGTCTCTGTCCTCTAGTCCTGTGTGTTAACTCATGTCTCTGTCCTCTAGTCCTGTGTGTTAACTCATGTCTCTGTCCTCTAGTCCTGTGTGTTTAACTCATGTCTCTGTCCTCTAGTCTCTGTGTTAACTCATTCTCTGTCCGCTCGTCTGTGTGTTAACTCTGTCTCTGTCCTCTAGTCCTCTGTGTTAACTCATGTCTCTGTCTCCTCTAGTCCTCTGTGTTAACTCATGTCTCTGTCTCCTCTAGTCCTCTGTGTTAACTCATGTCTCTGTCTCCTCTATCCTCTGTTCACTCATTCTCTGTCTCCTCTAGTCTCTGTGTTAATCATGTCTCTGTCTCCTCTAGTTCAACCTCTTGTACTCATGTCTCTGTCCTCTAGTCCTGTGGTTAACTCAGTCCTGTCCTCAGTCCTTGTGTTAACTCATTCTCTGTCCTCTACCTGTGTGTTAACTCTTCTCTGTCCTTCCTGTGGTAACTCATGTCTCTCCTCTAGTCCGTGTTTACTCTGTCTCTGTCCTTCCTCTAGTCCCCTTTTTAACTCATGTCTCTCCTCTGCATGTGTTACTCATGTCTCTGTCCTTCCTGGTTACCATCTCTTCCTTAGTCCCTTGTTAACTACAGTCCTCGTCCTCTAGTCCCCTGTTTCTCATCCCTCACTCTAGTCCTCTGTGTTAACTAGGTCTCTCTCCTCCCTCTAGTCCTCTGTGTTAACTCATGCTCTCCCTATCCTGTTGTTAACTCATGTCCCTCCTCTATCCTCTGGTTAACTCAGGTCTCCTCTCTAGTCCCTGTGTAACTCATTCTCTCTCCCCTCCTCTAGTCCCTGTGTTAACTCATGTCTCTCTCCTCCCTCTAGTCCTGTGTTACTCAGCTCTGTCTCCTCTAGTCCTCTGTGTTAACTCAGCTCCCCTCTAGTCCTTTAACTCATGTCTCTGTCACCTAGTTCCCTGTGTATAACTCATCCTCCTCTCTGTCCTCTGTTTAACTCATGCCCCTCCTCCCCTCTCCTCTAGTCCCTGTGGTTTAACTCATGTCTCTTCTCCCTGTCCCTGTTAACTCAGTCTCTCTCCTCTAGTCCTCTGGTGTTTAACTCTGTCTCTGTCCCTAGCCTCTGTACCATTCTCTTCCTCTAGTCCTCTGTGTTACTCATGTCTCTCCCTCCCTCATCCTCTGTGTAACTCATGTCTCTCTCCTCTCCTGAGTCTTGTGTTAACTAGTCCTCTCCCTCCTCATCCCACCCTCACCTGTTTATCCCTGGAGTTAGTAGTCTCTCCTCCCCACCATCCCTCCTGTATCCTGTGTTAATATGGTCTCCTCACCCAACCACCCTGTCTCCTCTATCCACCTTCGAGTTGATGAGCAACGCGTGAGCAGCTCCTATGTCCCCACCCTCACCTGTATCCCTGGAGTTATAGAGGTACATCCCCCCCCCCCCCACCCTCACC